ACACGGAGAAGGGCCGCCCCATCCTCCCAGACACAGGCGCTTCCGTGGACTGGCCACGCAGGAATGCAAAGATGAGGTGGAAAGGACATGTGTCTAATGGCCTCCCTGGACAACTGCTTCCTTTGCCACAGACCAGAAGAGCCTGATGGTGCCCAGCTACCACGACTGGGCGTGCTGGTCAAAGATTTCACTGATGAATCCTTATCGAAAGGGAGGAATTGTGGAACAGAATTTCAAATTCTCCTGCATTCCAGAGTCTGCTGCCAAGGGACCTGGGTGAACCCCTGGCACTACTGCCCTGAGGTCCTCTTTAGCCCTAAAATCCAATGACCTTCTGGGGTTTACTGGCCAAACAGCAGCCTCACTAATACAGACAGGGCAGTCTGTCTGCAGCACCTCACTCCATCACCATCTGTCTCTGGGGCCGATGGCCACTCACAAGCCCCACAGGGACCTTAGGGCTACCTGGGGAACAGTTCAGAGAGGGCAGCTGAAAGAGGCTGTGGAGCCAGGTGGCCGTGGCCAGTGTCACAGGATTGTCCACGGGGGGCTGAGACTCTCTGCTCTTGCGGTGGCCTTTCCAGCAGCCGCTGCGAGCTATCAGTCAAAGGTCCGAGTCGTGTGTGTGCGTGTGTGTTAAAAGCCCATTTCTCCAATGTTGGGCTGTTACCTGAGCTGTGAGACGGGGTTGCACCTGTCCCAAGGGCAGGCTGACGTCTCCTGGCCTAGCAGGCACCTCCCCTGGGCTGCAGGGCTCCGGGGCACGAGCAGGGATGGGGCCAGGTGGCATCCCTGCAAACAAGAGGTGAAGGAGTTTGTTCTGCGTGTGTATATTGCTCCTGGGCAGCTCTCTCACTGGGAACAAACACTGCAGGAGGACAGTCTGTCCCTCTCTACCCATGGCCACTTCTCCCCGAGGGGGCATGTCTGCCAGCACCTGGCCGGCCAGCAACACACACGTGTGCGCACACTGCTGCCGAGTGACTCAGCTTCTCCAGAGGGGCCAGAAAGGCACATGTCATGCAGGCCCCCCCTCCTAATGGGGAGTAGACCCCGGCCCTCAGTGAACCCGTTAATGGTCACTTCCAGGTTTTAAAGGCCTGGACTACCCTAGAAACCCACCTTGGTGCCAGCACCACCCAGTAGGACTGTCACCAGGCCTGCATGTCTCAGAAGGACACCAAAATGCTTGTCTTTCTGCTTGAGTTTTTAACACGCCTGCAAATGTCAGTTGATGTGCACCCATCTGGAAGTCAAGACCGAAATCTTTTTGAAGACGGCAACTGCGTTGCTCCAGTGGAAGTCACGTGTGTGGGGTCTGTGTTTGTGGTGTGTATGTGTATGAGGGGGGTATGCATGTGTGCATGCGTGTTATGTGCACACGTGTGTATGTGCGCGCGCGTGGGCATGTGCAGCACTCACTGGCTGGTTGGTCCCACTCCCAGACAGAATCTCACGGGCACAGCTTGGGCGGCGGGAAGTACAGGCCCAAGCCAGCTCACTCCCCTCTCTTGGGGAAGGCTCCCCCTCATGGCTCTCAGGGGCTGCTGGTCCCTCGAGCACCCGTGGGCCCAGGGGCTTCTCGGGGCACAGCCTGCCCTCCACTCCCTTTCACACGCGGGGAGACGTGCACATGTGAGATGTGGCCCGAGGGGTCAGTCTCTAGAGGAGGACCTTGTGCTTGGGGATGTGGAGGTCAGTGGAAATGAGGAGGACCCACCCCCGCCCCAGGAAGGGTTGACACAGTGGCTGTGGCCATGGCCCTTGCTCAACCAGCCAAGGGGGGTGGTGGGAGCGGCCGTGCTTTGGTCTGCTGTGTGCTGGTCTTACTAGGAATTGGCTCGCTGGTACCTGACAACAAGATGAGGCAGGGGGCGCCACTCCTAGGACCCTCCCCCCAGGGTGGGACCAGCCTGCGACCTCAGCAAGGGTGCTGCAGCCCACCACCCCACTCCCGGCCGAGACCCCTGAGGGCTGGCTGGCTGATCACATCACGGGCCTACTGCGTCATCATGTGATCACATCACGGGCCTACTGCGTCATCACATAACTGCCAGGCCTCTGGGGATGCCTGAGCACCTCAGGGACACAGTGCACTCTGGCTCCCCGTGGGCAGGGCAGGGCAGAATGCTGTCAGTAACAAGGCGCCTTGAATCTGGGCTGCACAGGGAGCCCTGGGGCCTCAGGCAGCCTTGAGTGGCCATCCCTCACAGTCCCAGTGAGGGCCCTCGTCCTCTGGAGCCTGGCACTTCCAGGCAGGGTGTGTGGCCCGGCCCCCTTCACCGCATCCCCAATGGACAGACGCTCTATGCGCCCTGCACATGCTGCGTGCAGCGTGTCTGCTGCCAGGCGTTCTGGGTCCTTTGTTAAGAGGACGCAAATTGATCTTTGTGGCCCGGGCGCAAGGCCCACCCAAGGTTCCTCTGACACTTGTCTTTGGGCGAACTCTGCTTCGCTGCCTCCAAAAACCCCGCCCATGGACTCCCCGGTACCAGCACTGCCTGGGGACGGTGTGGCCAGAAGTCTGCCTTCCAGCGAGGGTCCCCAGGCCTGTGCACCTGCACGTCCTTCTCCCGGGGAGTGGCTGGTGGGTTTGAACTGTCCACCTTTGGTGCGAGCCCAGCACCTATCCAACGGTGCCACCAGGAGGCTCCTTGCTCAGACAGCCACAGGGAAGTCTCTGGCGTATGTCCTCCAGCAGTCTGCTGGTCTGGACTGGACACGATGGCCTGAGCCTCCTCAGCAGCCCCTACCCTGGGCGTGGGCAGCGGGCCTTCCACCCTGAAAGCTGGCCGTGTGTCAGGACCCCTCGATGCTCATCAGGGCACACTGGAAACATGGCCTGTGTGAATGGGCCTTTCTGCAAGTCACACTGGGCTCGACAGTGGCTCCGTGGAACCAACCACCTCACAGGGCTCTGTGGGGAGCTCGGCCTGCTCCCCGCCCCCCTGCATGCCCCTGGTCTCCAGCCAGCACCGGGGGGCTTTAGAGGAGGGGTGTTTGGAGAGCTTCTGCAGGAGGCACCGGAGATCTTGGCTCGACTCCCTAGCCTCGGGAGCATCAGGAGAGCCTTTACAAGTCCAATCTGATCCTCCTGAGAACACCCCCGGGCTGGGATGACGCGGAGGCCAGCGAGTTCCTGGCACCCACAGGCCAGGCCCTGCGGGGCTGGTCTGCCCGTTGTGATCCAGGAGCCCTCTTCACGAGGAGGCTACTGATGATTGAAAAACAAGCCCTCAGTGACCCCGGCCCCCTCCTGCCCACTCAGCCACTGGATGGGCGTCCCCTTATGACAACGACGGAGGATGCAAGGCATTCTGTACAGGTGGGCCCACGAGATGCCAGCCCTTCTGCGACTTCACACAGGAGGCGTTCAGAGTTGGGCCCTCGGGCCGCTCTCTCTGGCTGGCTCTGGTGCAGGAGGGTGGTTCCTGCAGTCGGGGAGATGGTCTATCAGCGGCAGGTGGGGAGAGAGTGGAAACCCAGAGACTTCTAGGGGCTGCAGATCCGGTGGTGTGCTGTGTCTGGTTGGCACTAGATTCGGCCTGGCCTCTGGAGTTTGGGCAACTCCCTGCCCCTTTACAGGAACCCTGGTCACCTCTTTGTGCAATTCAATCCTTTTGCTCCTTAGTAGTTTCTTTACTTAGAATGCCCACCCATCCCCTCCTCACTACACCCACCCAAGCCCTCAAACTCCCTGCTGTCGAGTTAATGCCGACTCACTGAGACCCTAGAAGATGGGGTAGAACTGCCCTTGTGGGTGTCCCAGGCTGTAGCCGTTGGCAGTAGAAAGCCATCTTTCTCTCGAGGATTGGCTAGGGGCTTTGAATTGCTGACCTTTTGTATGGCAGCCGAGTGTGTAACCACTACCCCACGAGGGCTCCTTGCTGCACCCATAAAAGCTGTGTGTGTGTGTGGGGGGTGCAGGGTAGACATGCTCCTGTGAGTTCCCTGGACTGTAAGTGCCATTCGTTCTGAAAGCCGGAGTCCAAGGGCTCCTTCCACGTGCCTCCCGGGTCTGTTCGGCTGAGAGCCGGGCACGGTTCTGAAAACTGCCTTCCAACAAGGGGCTACAGATACACGTTAGGCTGCCCTCATGGGAGGCCTCAGGAAGGCATGCTGCAGGGCTGGGACGGGAAAGGCCACCTCGTTAGGAGCCAGGGCTCTTGGCTGAGGCAGCTGACCCCTGCGCCCTCCCTCCACCTCAGGACTGCAGCTGGGAACTCAGAGCCCACCACACACTCGCCACCCAGGAACCCAGGTGCGGCTTCTGGACTGACCGCTTCTGGACTGACCGCTTCTGGATTGACCGGCTGCCTGGCCACCTGACCCGTATGTGTCACGTGAGAAGGGACCCTCATGAAGCTACTGCAGGACCCCTGGCGGTCACACATAAGGCTGAGACCCTCATGGGTGGCAGTGGGGCACATGGGGCTCTCTATTCCCCTAAACAGCCAGTCTCTGACTCTCGGGGTGTGTGTGTGTGTGTGTGTCCCTATGAGTCAGCATCAGTAGAACAGCAGTGAGGTTGCTTTGGAGGAAGCTATGAGTCCTGGTGGCACCGCAGGTTAAGCACCGTTGACCCCTGGTGATGGACAGTGAGGCCACCACTCGGCCCTATGAGGAAGAACCCATCACTGGCCCGTGTCTTCAACCAAGGGCTTTCTGAGGGCAGCAGCGGCCAGGAGGCCTGTCTTAAGCATTGTTCTTCCAAAGCTTCAGTCATTACCACACACACACACACACACAGAGCAACAGTGTCTCCGTGTGTTTCTCTGTATTAGACTCGGAGCAGCTAGGGCTGCTCTCTCAGCTCACTGCCACCGACCCACAGCGCCCCCGTGGGTTTCCCAGAGCGAGCGAGTGGTCCACCACGGGCCTTACAGCTCACCCCCCCTGCGCGCCCAGGGCTCCAAGCAGGCTCTAAGTATCAGCAGAGAAGGCACCACACCCTCTCCCAGCCCCAGGGCCCTTGGTAAGCAGAGAAAAGGCAAGTGCTTGCTTAGCTTACTGAGGAGCCTCCGGGCTCCCTGAAACACAGGAAAGGGAGGTGCTGGGAATGGTGTGTGGCGGCAGAGTTGCTGCTGGGGCCCGAGCCCACTCCCAGTTACAGCCAAGCGGCCCCCCGCCACTGGCCCTCCGCCGCTGCCTTCAGCCGAGAGCTGGGCCCGTGACCCCAGAGCTCTGCGTAGGCCTTCAGTACACGCGCAGAAGAGAGGGGGGAAGAGCAGGAGCAAGACGGTGTGCCACCTCGGCCCTCAACGTCGGGATGAGCAGGGTGAAGTCGGCCCCAGCAGATGGTGGATGGAGCTGACCAGAAACCTTCCGGTCAAGATGGAAGCCTGGGCAGACGCCAGATCTATCTACACATCTAGGGAGGCTTGGGAGGGGGGGGGGCATGGGAAATTATTTCTGGCACCATCAGGCCCCCTGTCCGACAGACCAAAAAAATGTCCCCTAGGCTATAAAGACGTGGAAGCAGCAGCGTTCAGAGAGAATGACTGGATGTCTCCCAGGGTAGAAAACCGAGTTCAAGTGCAGAAACAGCCAAGCCCCCCCTTAGACACAAGGCAGTACACAGCAGGTCAAGGGCAGCTTGCGAGTAGGGGGACTTAGGAAGAGAGGGGTCCCTCCAGAGGCCTCGGGGGACAATGGGAGAGTAACTTTGAAGAGAGGCTGCCCTTCCTCAGTCTGGTCTCAGTAACAGGCCTTTCACCCTGAGAGAAACGCCACGGCAGAGACGCCAACACCTGAATGTAGGGCAAGGCCTGCTCCCCACCCCCAGCTCTCCT